AAACTCAGTTTTACTTCAACTGTAGTCCTTATCAGTTTTAAACTACACTTTCATCACAAGTTTTTTCTAAAACTCAGTCTTACTTCAACTGTAGTCCTTATTAGTTCTAAACTTCACTCTCATCACAAATTTTATCTAAAACTCAGTCTTACTTCAACTGTAGTCCTTATTAGTTTTAAACTACACTTTCATCACAAGTTTTTTCTAAAACTCAGTCTTACTTCAACTGTAGTCCTTATTAGTTTTAAACTTCACTTTCATCACAAGTTTTATCTAAAACCCATAGTTTATTTCAACTGTAGTCCTTAATAGTTTAAGCTTTACTATCACTCCAGGGTTAATCTGAAACCCACATTCTTACTTCGACTATAGTTCTTAATATTTTGTACTGCACGATCCTTACAGGTGATCTGAAAGCCACAATATTAAATAAGTGATAGTCCTTAATAGTTTTGAACTTCTCTATCGCTACACGTTTTGTGTAAAACTCACAATCTTACTTCAGTGATAGTCCTCAACAGCTTTAAACTTTACTATTGCTACAAGTTTTGGTCTGACATGACCTGATGGTTAAGACGCTCGAATTGCACTCTGCGGATCGCGGGTTAGAAACCCATCTCCGTATATTCTCGTCCTTTCAGCTGTGGGGACATTATAATGTGACAGTCAATCACATTTCTTGCGGATAAAGAGTAGCCCAAGAGTTGGCGGTGAGTGGTGTTGACTAGTTGTCAACCCTCTTGTCTAACACTTCAAAATTAGGAACGGGTAGCAAAGATGGCTATCGAATAGCTTTTCACGAGCTTCAAGAAAATAAAGCTTTATCTGAAGTCCACACTCAAACTTCAACTATAGTCCTTAACAGTCATATATTTAGCTATCACTGTAAGGTTTATCTGAAGCCATCAATATTACCTCAATAATCCTTAGCTGTTTTGAAATCCGACGCTTCACCACTGTTTCACTGTTTGCCTTTAAACAGTTTTATTACTTTAGCAACGTTTTAAAACGTAACAAACAAGACAAGTTAAATTTATGTTGTGGTTAAAAAGACGTTTGCTTAAACTCTTTGTTAATTTGCACCAGTAATACAATTTATTGTCTAAAACAATTTAATATTAATTTTCTAATCGTGTATTTTTT